CCCTGATGGCATCTCACAGGTGCCGGGGACGCCGGTGCCGGGGATATACTGGGGTCTTCGGCCCAGCCCACGAAGCTCCTGTCCCCCGTGTCCTGCTCCTGCCAGCACTGGCCTTTCGTGGGGCACACGTGGCCCGGGCCGCTGGCTGCCGGCGCTGCCTGATTAGCGATGCAGATGGTAACGCTTGTTCCCCCTTTTTGTTGAGCGTACAAAGGCCGGGAGGGAGCGTGTGTGCGGGGGAAGAGAAACCACCGAGGACAAAGAGCGCGTCAGCCGCCTGCCTCCCACTGCCTCAGCTCTAACCAGCACCTGCCCGGTGAGCGGCTCTGCTCCTGAGGGTTCCCCCCCTGGACCCGGGAAGGGCTCCCGGCGGCCCCCTCCGTGCCACTGGGTGAGCGTGGGGTGCTCCGGGGGGTGCAGCCCTTTCTGCATCCCCCTGGCAGCAGTGCTTCGGGGATGCTCAGGCAGCTTGGGGGTACTGATAGAACACGTCGTGGCGGGGGAACGGGGACGGGCGCAGGTGGTTCCCTCCTTGCCATTGTCTGCGCTGAGGCCCCGGCACCACCGCAGAGGAGCCGGTGGAGAGCAGCCTCCATGACAGTGTGGCCACGGGCTGCTTTGCCGGCAGCACCTGCTGCAGGTAACGGGAAGGAACTGTGCCATCCCCCAGGCTCAGGTCAGCGGTCACCCTGCAGCTGGTGTTTCTGGGAGAGGAGAAATGAGCTGGCTTGTTTTCACGCGTTTTTGGGGTGCTGCCCAGGCCGGGTCCTGGCTGCGGGTCTAGGCAAAGCCCCGGGTGCTGCAGGGGAGGGCAGAACAGGCAGAGAGCCCCGGGGCTGAGCGGGGAGGCCAGAGCTTTGGCAGCTCCTCTGGACGTGGGCAGGAGACTCTGAGCTGGCAAACGCAGCTGCCCGGCCATGCTGCGTGCCCGACCTTGTCCCTCCAACTGCTTCCCCTCACCGCCTTGGCTGTATCACATGCCCGGGGCCGGCACCGTGCTGCGGCTTGCAGAGCCTTTCCCTTGCCTGCCCTGCGGCCGGGCCTCTCCCGGGCACGTGTGCTCCTGCCCAGGCCCCGAGGGGCGATGGGGTTCAGGCAGTCCCCTGCCGTCCCCTGCGGCTTTGCCAAGGGCAGGACGGGTTCTCCGTGTCCTCCTGGGTGCGTTCAGGGGCACCGGGGACCACGTGCCCATGCAGGGAGGTGGCCCAGGCAGTGGTGATGCTGCGCCGGAGCCAAGGTGCAGCTTGGCATGGTATGGCATGGCATCCATGCCTACAGAGCCTGCACTGCCAGCGTGGGCAGCGCTGCCTGTCCCCGTGTGTTGCCTAAACCTCATCTCTGCGCTTGTCGGAGAGCTCTAAAGCAGATGCTTCGAACGCGGGGAGTTTTCCTGTTGTCCTTTGTGCCGAGGTTAAGTTCCTGCGTGGCTTCCTGCGCCGTTATATATAGCTGTCAGCCCGTCCTGCGCGGCGTTGCCAGCCGGCTGCTCCGGTCTGGAGTTGTTTATCCATAGCCCGAGCACTCGATGGAAGTCGAGGGGGACTGGTGGGCACCGGTTGCCCCAGGGAAAGTCGGGTCCCATAGGAGCCCTGCGCAGGGTGAGGCTGTGGGTGCCCCCCCGGGTGCTGGGCGTACATGGGGTTTCCTGGGGGAAGGGGGGGCTGAGGTTTCTGCCGGGCTGCAGTTTTGCCCCCGGCTGGGTATTCCCCCCCCCTGCCTCTGCACGGGACGCCTGAATGAAAGAGCGACTGTTCCTGGAGGTCGCCGGCAGCGTCACGAGTTTCTACGTCGCCCCGGCTAAAATTAGACACTTATCAGTGTTTGGGAGGGATGTGATTTTACAGGTTCCTGTTTATTAGGACAGCCTTCACTTAGGGCCGTGTTTCCACCTCCCTCCCCGGTGCAGATACTGCCTGTGGCTGTCCTCCGCGGCTTTGTGGTTTGCTGGGGCCGGGACGAGTGGCAGAGAGGCCTCTGTTTCTTCGACAAGGGGCTTTTGAACCAGCGGGAGAGACGCCTGTGGTGCCACAGCCGGTGGGGATGAGCAGTTTTGCCCAGGGAGCATCCACACTGGTGGTAACTGCTGCAGATACAGCCGGGATGCCTTCCTCCCCTGCCCGTTTGTGCCACTCCAAAACGGCTCCTGAGCTGCCAGAGATGCTGAGGGTCTTGCCCACCGTCAGCCCTGGTGCTGGCATGGGGGTGCTCGTGGGTGCCAGGCTGCTGGGCTTCTTTCGGGACATCCCTGGGGGTGCAGGACCACCCTTGCTGCATCCCTGGGCCTTGGTGCCCAGCCAGGGCAAGGACACGATGACCGGGGCAGTCTCAGAGCCCCACAGTGCTGCTGTCCCCAGGGGCGGGTGGGGACTCTGTGACATGGTGTGGGGCCGGGGGTGACCCGCAGGGTGGAGTGAGGGGTGATGGGGTGGGTGTTGTCCGTGCCACTGTCTGATGGTGCCTTTGCCCATCTGTCCTTCTGCAGGCAGGCGGCTGTGTCGTGACCAGCACCCTGACCCAGCACCCTGCCACGGGGGCGAGCACGCCCCGAGCCCCTGTCCACCATGTTCAACCTGATGAAGAAGGATAAAGAGAAGGATGGGGCCCGAAAGGAGAAGAAGGAAAAGAAGGAGAAGAAGGAGCGGATGTCAGCAGCCGAGCTCAAGAGCCTGGAGGAGATGAGCATGCGCCGGGGCTTCTTCAACCTCAACCGTGCCTCCAAGAGGGACTCCAAGACCCGTCTGGAGATCTCCAACCCCATCCCCATCAAGGTGGCCAGTGGCTCAGACCTGCATCTCACGGACATCGACTCCGACAGCAACCGGGGCAGCGTCATCTTGGACTCAGGCCACCTGAGCACGGCCAGCTCCAGCGACGACCTCAAGGTGGACGATGCCAATTTCAAGGGCTCAGTGCTGCAGCGGGCGGCCAAGTTCGGCTCGTTGGCCAAGCAGAACTCCCAAATGATCGTCAAACGCTTCTCCTTCTCCCAAAAGAGCCGGGATGAGAGCACCTCGGAGACATCCACCCCCTCCGAGCACTCGGCAGCCCCCTCCCCGCAGGTGGAGGTGCGCACACTGGAGACCCAGCTTGCCAAGCAAGGGGTCCCCCCGGGACATCCCCGCACCCCTCCCGCCGCCTCCCTGCGTGCCAGGGTGCCGGAGCTCGTCGGCAAGAGGTTCCCCGCTGAGCTGCGGCTGCCCGCCGTGGTGCCCCCGCAGCCCCCTGCCCCGCGGCAGCTGGAGCTGCAGAGACGTAACACTGGTGATTTTGGCTTTTCCCTACGCCGCACCACCATGCTGGACCGGGCGCCTGATGGGCAGGTGTACCGGCGCGTTGTGCACTTTGCCGAACCTGGAGCTGGCACCAAAGACTTGGCATTGGGGTTGGTGCCGGGTGACCGGCTAGTGGAGATCAACGGGCGAAACGTGGAGAACAAATCCCGGGATGAGATTGTAGAGATGATCCGGCAGTCGGGAGAGACGGTGCAGCTGAAGGTGCAGCACATCCTGGAGCTGAGCGAGCTGAGCCGCTGCTGGCTGCGGGGCGGCCAGGGGACGCGTCGCGCTGCCTGGGATGTGAGTAACACCGTCTGCGCCGTGGGGCAGGTGCCCTGGGTTTCTACCGGCTGCCAGGGGTC